TATATATATATATATATATATATATATATATATATATATATATATATATATATATATATATATATATATACACACACACACACACACATATAGCTATAAACCACTAAGTGTGTGGTAATTTGTTATGATGGCAATAGAGAACTAATACACAGATATTAAAAATTCATGAGCAAGAAAAAATATAGGTTTGATATGTGAATCCAAGAGTCGCTTCTTTGAAAAGGTAAGAGGCAAAGTTTTTCTCAGTCTAAATGTAAAGAAAACACATAGACACTAAAATTGGGAATAATAAAAGATAGAGTAGTTATAAGTATGAACCAAATAACATAGTGAATATATTCACAAAGCTGAAATTATAGATAAAGTGGAAGCCAAATAATTATAGGTTTTAATTCATCTCTCACAATCCAAGACAGAAGAAAAGACCAAGAAAATAAGTAGGAATACAAAGACCAATCAAAAGGTTTGAGTTTGTTAATTTAAGCAATTTTTTAGACACTGACTGTACGTTTTCCTTAAAAATACAGGACATATTCTTTTTAGAACATGTGCAAAATTTTACTATCCAGCCACCAAATAAAGCCCGTAAGATATTCCAAAAATAGGGGCGCCTGGGTGGCTCAGTGGGTTAAGCCTCTGCCTTCGTCTCGGGTCATGATCTCAGGGTCCTGGGATCGAGCTCCGCTTCGGGCTCTCTGCTCAGCAGGGAGCCTGCTTCCCTCTGTGTCTCTGCCTGCCTCTCTGCCTGCTTGTAATGTCTCTCTCTCTCTCTCTATCAAATAAATAAAAATTTTAAAAATGCTATATAAAAAAAAGATATTCCAAAAATAGAAACTGGTATATACAATAAAAATTTCAATTACGATGAGATAAAACTTAAAATGAATACCAGAACAACAGAAAATCCTTAACTCAGTGACGCCAACAACCCCTCTTAAGCTGTTCAGTCAAAGGAAGAATTCAATATACAACTGCAGAATTTCTAGGAAACAATAATGAGAACACAATATCAACCCTACAGAATATAGGGAAGTAGACGAATGCTCAGGGAAAATTCATAGTCAAAGTACTTACGTCAGTAAAAAAAAGACTACAAATATATGTGGTTCAAAAAGTTAGAAAATGAGCAGCAAAAGAAATCACAAGAAAAGGAAAAAGATAAAGTCAAAAGCTTAAATTGTTGACAATACATGAAAAACAAAAGAGAAGCAGAACTTAAAAATACATGAAAAGACTGGCTCATTGGAGAGCAATCAATATCATTAAGACACCACTAACCTAACTAATCAAAGTGGGGGAGAAAAAGCACAAATAAAATGGCAAAGAGAAAAAAAATACAAAAGCAGGAAGAATTAAAACAATCCTACGAGTATTTTGAATAATTTTATGGAAATTAATTTCAAAATCTGAATGAAAAGCATACTTTTCCCCAAGATCCTTGAAGAGAGGGCGCCTTTAAACAGACCAATTTCCACAGAAAAAACTGAGCAAAGCTATCAAAGTTCTTTCCTTCCCACTAAATCAGTAGACCCATATGACTTCAGAGGGAAAACTACCAAATCTTTAAAGAATAGATGATTGCAATGCTCTTTAAACTATTTCAGAGCATAGAAAAAGAAGGGAAACTTCCAAATTATTTGTATGAATTGAGTGAAACATCGATTCTAAAATCTGAAAAAGTTTGCACAAAAAGACTAATCTTGTTTATAAACGTTGGTGAGAACTTCTTAAATAAAATATCAGCAAACAGTATCCAGCAGCACAACTAAAAAAGAAAAAATAATAATCAAGTGCAATTTATTTTT